ATAGTCCACAAATAAAATAATTAAAAAATGAGAGTTGTTGTATTTTACTGAACTCATGTCCCTCCTGGGCTTCCGTAGTATTTGGCTATTTAGTTCGATTTAATTTGAGACATTTGACAGTGGAGGTGAAAGGAATTTAGATTTTTAGCTTAAAAAAATGACCTCTGGAAAATTCCCCACCAACAACACCGGCTTTCAGAACCAGAGCCACAGTTACTCTGGTGATCCACAGGCCCTGAATACGACGTGGAGTTTTCTCTAGATCTCAGCAGAAATAGCTCCAGTTGTTAGTCTGTGACCCCGACCTCACTGCACAAGTGCTTCCACTCCTCACGAATCCAAACGAACCCCTCGTGCATCCCCAGAGGAGGCAGCTGGCCGTGCACCTCATGCTGCAGGTAACTGTGATTATCACAAGGACAGAAAATAGGCTTCTGTGTTTCATATGTGTTATTATTCCTCAGGCTCTCGACTAGATTCCCTAGAACACTTTGGTTTTGTTGGATTTCTCTGTGTACATTTTGTAAGGTCTCTACTATGTGATGCGCCTTGTATTCTGCAAAATGCTGCCGTATAAATACAATGAAACTGAACTTGACTGCTAAGTCTCAGCTTTGAGCAGGTTTACATCAAAACTGTGTGAGAGAAAAGCTGCAGAGTCTCAGAGCTCGAAGATAATGGAATAGATACATGAGGTCAAGCAAAACCACTGTAGGGGAATGTATGCCTAAATGGATTTATGAATGCTGATGCAGGATTACTACACAATCCAACGTCGGCCTGTAAGATGATGGATAATACTGTATGTACATGAAGCTCTTCATACTGACTGTCAAGAGGGTTTCAGCATGATCAGGAACATGATTTAAAGTTAATTATGAAAAGCTATAGCTGGCATCTGGACAATTTAGGGACTGAAATGTGAACAAGAAAACAGTCGAGGCAGCTGGACTTACAGGTGATCGAGCACATTTATTAAACTGCCAACCTTTAATGAACCAACAACATGATAACAACTACTAACTACATCACAGTATTAAAACTTACTCAGACAAACAACGCTGTGACTGTAGCTGAGAAAAAAGGGATGGAAAATGTTCTGAGATGAACAGATGACACCTGGAAGCAGTCGCTCGTTTGGAATTTGGGGGAAATTCAATTTGCCAACAAGTTCTAAGTGAACGTTAGCTGTGTGCTTGTTGCGATGATGCAGTGGTGAGTCTAGTGATTGGAAATCTGGAGCCGTCTCCCTCCTACGTGTCACGGATGAAAACAAAAAGAACTCAGAAAGGACCCAGCAAGGACCTGAAGTGGTGCCTTCGTGTACCGTCTTTTTAAAGCTACTTCTGCATATGATTTACTCGTGAGGGGATCTGGCTTAACCTCTGTCAGTTAGTCCTGATGTCCAGATTGTGTGGGGTCAACAGTTTGTCAGTGTTTCTGGTGGTTATTTGGTTCTGGGTAGTTGTGACAGCGACCGGGGATGTGAGACGGTCACTCGACCAAACCGTGGTTCAAATACACATTTCGGCTGCCGTTGTCTGGAATCCTCTGGACGTCCACGTCACCACGGCCTCCTCCTGAGACACAACCTTCACTGAATCCTGGCAGACCTGCTGGAAGCGGTTCCACATACTGGTGTCTTCTGCTCCGTTAAACTCAGTGGACCATGTCTCTGTTCTGAGGATTATTAATGTCTCGTAGTTTAATCGTAGCAGCTGGACTTCCTTGAAGACGTTCCACCTCTCATCCAAGAGGCTTCATCAGCTCTGACTGACTAGTTGGGAGTTCCACATACTGATATCCTGAAGGAACCATTAACACCTGAGTTTGGGTTTTAATTGGGGGTTTGTTGCTCCTCCCCCTCGTTATGTGAGTCGTTAGTGCTCCTCCTGACACAGTGGGGCTCGTTAGGGTCTTTTTGTGGCTGTTGGTCTGTTTCATGTTTGAACAAATTAGCTTTTAAAACTGAATTCATTTATAAATATACATTTTATTTTTGCTTGATAGAAGAATACAGCAGAAAAAACACATATTTTACCACAACCAGGTTAATAAATCTAATAAAAGGGAACATTCACAGAAGCACCTCCAGTTTTAAGAATTTAATGGAAGAGAGCTAACATAGTATGAATCATTGTGATTTATTGCACTCTCATGATGATCTTCAACTGGTCTACAAGCACAAGGAAAGCTGCGGTGCAAGCTAACAGGTAAACAACAGTGTTTAGCTTTAGAAACATAAAACGTGAGAAGACAGAAAAGTGTGCAGGAATAGTACCGTGATGTCGCGATAACTAAAACTCAGATGACAATCATTCACTCGCAGGGCGTTGTGGAGGATTCAGGGTTCTTCAGGAGACTGGAGGTGCTCTTTAGCCTACAAACAAACAGACACACAAACCACCACTGAAATGTGTCACAAATATCACATACAGTGCAGCTAAACCAGCATCTTTTTGAGAAGATAACTTGACATGAGTAAAGGTTTATTGGAAAGCTGAAACGCAGTCTGACATTGACTTGGTAGAAAAGCTTAGCCTCGGATCTCTAGCCTTAGATTGTAGTTTGGTGAAGCTAGGTACGCCCTGCTACCAGCGTCAAATGTTCGTCTGGAACCCTGCTGAGAGGGTCATTATTTTTACTCTTATTTCAGTGCCTAGTCCAGAGATCAGTAGTATTTTCAGAGAAACGTAAATTAAGAACTCACATGTGGGTGATCCTTTCTAGCCTGTCCTTCAGGTTCTCCTGGTCAGAGAAACAGAACCAACAAGAACACAGATGAAAACAAAAACAGCTCCTAAAACAAATGTCATGATAAGGCCTGAAAGCACTGGACCTGGGGAACACGGGTACCGTTCACGTTACGCCTCGGTCGCCCCTACACAGAGCGTAACGACGCCACAGATACAGCAGCTAATTCCACCATTTGACTAATGGATTCATGTTTTCTGCTCTAGTTAGATGTGTCTGGCCACAGTGACAAGCAGGTGAGTACATCTCACCTTTGAAGAGTCAGACATGGAGCTGGAGGTAAATGACTGGCATGGCAGCGGGACACTTATCTAGAAAACACATGTGGAAAAACAAAGAGGGAAGCAACAGAAATGGTCATTTTATGTGAAAACATGTTTAGTCAAAAGATCTGTGACCATCATCAGAATGTGTACATTCTTAGGGAGTTTGAACAGAATCCTCCGTTGGATACCTGCTGATCTGTGTGATTTCTAGTCACTAACTCAACACTAAATCCACTTTATAAAGCTAGCAAACAGAATGCAGTCCCTTTATTACGCTACTAATCCCAGTCCTCCTCATTTTTGTTTATTACAACAGAAGTTATTATAGAGAAAAAGCAGTCTTCTGTAGAGAAACTGGAATGAACACCAGGACTCTCTGCTCCCAAACTGAGCATCTCATTCACTCCCCACCTCCACCCCAGGCATTTAAATACTGAAATCAACCACAGTTAGTAAGGTATGACGCATGAAAGACTGTAGATGTGCGACTGATAACAGTAGTAGTAGAAATATTTATGTCTATAAGCTGCATTAATCAGCGCTGTTGTGTTTTGTATTCACTCATATCCCCCTCTTTCACTCTATGCTGCTTCTGCTGAGGCTGCTATAACCAAACGCTGAGCTAGAAAACAAATTAATCATTCGTCTTGGCTGTCAGGGAAAGTTTAGGGACTAACAGCCCAGTAAACTGAACAGTTATAGTAGATGACCACCTGCTGCAGTTGGCAAATATTGGAAGAAGCAAAGACAAAAAACAGGACTAGACAAAGGTACAAGCAGAAGCTTCTGCTCAATCTGTGATGAGCATTTTATATTTTAGTCTTCTTTCAATTTGCAGAGAAAAAGAACGATTAAAATTCTAATTTGCCTCAGAGTTTGTGAAAAAAAAGAAAAAGAAAAAGAGGAGAACAACAATAGCGGACCAACACGACCACAGGAACAAGTTCAGACGTCACAGCGTGTACGTCTGTCCTACCTGTGCGTTGCTGAGTTCTAGTTTAGTTTCCAGTAATAAGAGTCTGCTCATCAGGTTTTCCCAGCTCTCTCTGGATACGCTGATGACTTGTCCCTCGTTCTGGAATACAACATGATAAATACAAAAAAAATGACTCTTCTGTAAAGAAAACAAATAAACAGGATGAGACATTAAAGAAATAGACGCCATCTTATCAACCTTGTCTGCGTTTCTTTGCCTCTCCAGTTCGTCCAGGCGTTTCTCCAAAACGCTGAGCCTGTCGAGCGCAGGCAGAAGAGTCTGTACTTGAGCTTCTAATGCCGACAGCCGTCCTTCCACCTCTGATGACTAACAGACAGAAACACAACTTATATCACATTTGATATATTGGCCTGTGCTCAACCTGCCCTGAAAAAGATGTGAGATGGATCCACTGCATCAGTGCAGTACGAAGCCTCGCCTCTAAATACCACCAACATTAATATCAACATTCATCCGTCTCCACAAAGTAAAAGATCAAAAATGACACAGCCCATCTTTATTTCAATCTTATTGGCTCCATCTTTTGGCAAACTGAATCTATTGATCAATGTCTATAGTTGGCTTTCACCTAATTATGATTTATTAAATGCGTACCTGAGGAGAGTAATCTTTGTCCTCCTCCCTTCCTGGCAGCTCTGCAGTTCCATCTCCAGGAGCTTTGGCAGAAGCTGCTTCATTATGAGAGGCACTGGTTACATTATGGGAGGAGACTGTGGAATAAGTGGAAGGGTTTTCTGTGTGATGCACCACAAATGGCCTCTTTGCCACCTGAAAAATATAAAAACACAATTCACCAGATGACTTCACATTTCAGATCATTCACTTTCTGACTCATCACACCTTCCCAGTAAAATCCGAATTATGAGCAGCTTTCAGGTAGAAACAACACAATCTCCAGCGAGTCACTAGCTGTACACCACCTCCTGTATTACCTGTATTATCACTGACTGGAGAGCAATACTCTGCATTCAGTGATGGTATAGAACTTGACACTCGACTTACAGAGCCTGCTGCATCAGTCGCTGTTGAAGGAGCCTCTCCTCTGCCATACTTCTGTGATGCAGGACATCTGACTCTGTGCTACGAGGCATGCAAACACACACGTTATTTCAGGTAAATGGTCTGCGCTTACACAGAGCTTTTCTTCTTAGCGGTACTCAAAGCACAATGTTTCCCTTTCACACAAAGAGCTGCCAGCAAGGCGCTCATGCCATCGGGGAAAACTTGAGCTTTTGTGTCTTGATCGAGGACATGTCGGCATATGGAAGGGCTGCGTATTGAATTCCTGTCACATCACAGGTAGTGCAGGAGATAGGATTTATTTTAGCTATAAAGCAAGGGATTTAATTACCACTAAACCCTATGCGCTAACTACCAAAAGGTCCCACATTCCCATTAAACCCTCTCGTAGAATCTCTCTCTCAGAACACTTGATGGATATTAATTTGTATTTGTAGACTTTGGCCACATACGGTCTGTCCTAAAGTGACCAAATGGCTTCTGCTCATCAGGCAAAGGACATAAAGGTGCACTGTGTCCTTACTGCTTGACAAACACTGTCTAATGCTCGGCCAGAAGACATTTTTTCAGGGTGCTCCTACTACTTGCAGTCATCGTACTGCTTGTGCTAGCACGCCATCCCTCACAGAAGCAAATCTCCAGAGCCTCCTTAGCAGCAGCTGCAACTTTTAAAGCATACTCTTTCTTCTGGTCCTCCAGCAGGGACTGTCTAGCTAGTGATATCTCTTCAGCCCAATTAAAGATGACCACTAATGCCTCTGAGTCAGCATTTTGAACCTCATGGTCATTATCCACCATGCGAGCATTTGTAGCTGTCTCCACAGCAGAACATTTCCCTGGAGACAAAGAAACTATTGAGGGAATAAAAACAAACAAATGCAGGCAATGTTTTACCCCCCTGTGCTATTTTGTGTACATATATATATATTTATATGTGTGTGTTTACATGTAAGGTCCATTTATAGTGAGTTACTGGAGTCAGTCAGTCTGAAGGCCTGCATGCCATATTTTGATTATCAGTTATGATTGATATCAATGTCATGTTGAATCAAAAAACGATTGAGAACAACTTCTCCTGATGCTTTAACTGCAGGAATGAACCAATGAAAAATGCATTACAGCCGTTACAGATGATGAGCTGAATAAGAGATGCTGGAAAAAATGCAAACAGTCAGAGAGAAAAATCGACTCGCTGCAGTATCAGAGTCAGCTGGCTGGTGGCTAACAGCCTACAGACATCCACCTGAACAGACATTTTTGTACCACCACAATACAACACATGAGCTCTCCAGAAACCTTTGGGATAACCGTCTCCATTTAAGACACACAGGTACATAAAAATAAGCCATTCAAAAGCTCCGTACCTTCTTCAGTTGGCTGTGTTTCTGCATTACCAAGTTAATGATATCACAGAGGACGGAGATCTTCCTTTGAGAGAAACCCCACTGAAGGAACTGCTGCTTGGTCAGTACAGGTTTATAGTGGAAGATGTCTCGCAGTGCCTGGACAGAGAAAACACACACAGTTGAATAGACGTCGACAGGCTAATATAAAAAAGCCCAACGCGACTTTGTGCTGACTACTGACACAACACTTTAATCTTATCGAGAACTGAGTGCACACTTTCACCTAAAAGATAAATTAGACATCTGGAGGTGTTTGCAAATATGAAGAAGTTTGGGGAATGTAGTTAAGCAGTAGCCTGGGGAAGGTGTGCTTCGATAACTGCTAATGGAACATATGGCAACTGCGAGAACCTCGGGCTCACAAGGCAGAAGGATTTAAATTTGAACATTCATAAGGACTTCTGGGCAAAGATCATTTCCTGTGCAGACTGGTTTACCAGAGAAGCTCAAGTAAAATGTACGCACTGTAAGGTACGTAACCGATTTTACACCTGTCCATGTTCAGAAATTGGGTTTGTCAGAAATGTAAAAGGCACGAATCCCCCTTTACACATGCAATGTGGGCCTGTCCTCTGATTCTGCCTTTGTAGGGAAATAATCAAAACAATACAGGACTGGTTAGGTATACATGTGCCTGAAGCAACGCAGCTTGGCCTCTGACGGATAAGCTTTCCAGATCAGCATTTACTTTATCCTCAACAGGCTTTATCTCAGCTGCTACAGGCATTCCCCACAACCAGAAACGCAGAGATGGACCGGGAGTCGGTGAAGTTAATGACAGATAATGTGCAATATGAGTTAATGATAGCAACTTGTGTAAAAATAAAGAATCACATTTGTTTGTCTGGAATAGAGTTTTTGTCTTTCATAAAAGTAGAAATATATGTCACCTCACACGAGACGAGACACTGCACGCAGCACCCTAAATGGGCCTATGTGCTACCTTGTAAAGAGCATCTGTGAACCGGAGGTCGGTTTTGCCAGTCAGCTCCAGCCCAGACGCCATCAGTTCCTCAGCAAAAAGTGGAGAGAAGGAGTTGAGGGTGAAGCTCACTATTGGGAGGAAAGCTGAAGGATCTCCTTTGGAAAGTCTGGTGGAGAAATAAACAGCAGCATATGCTAGTGTACAGGCCTTTTGTTCTTGTTTAATTTAAAGTAGGTTTGCATCAATACTGAAGGATAAATATTGCCTCTTTATGTAGTGGCCACTATTTTATTTCAAATTGAAAGTGTAACAGTTAAGAGGAACAACCAATGTGTCACTGTCAGAATAGTCACATTTCTCTCCTAGCATTGGTTAAACTCCCAAAAATGTGTCTTTGGTCATATAAATTACATATTTAGAAGTTGTTTTGTCCCCCATTTACACACCTTAGAGGAAACACTACATCTCTGCCACCTGCAGCATGGATCTATGAATATATAAATGAGTCCTCCTCACCTCTATTTCCATCCACCCTCTGCCACGAGCACGCCTGCTCACTTTGAACTGCACTCAAACACTGTAAACTTCTCTTCTACACAATGACAAGTTGTAATATTGGAGGCTGTGTGCCACACATTTCCCCTCCTCCATCCATCTATCCACCATCTACTCGATGTAGACGGTAGGTAGAAGCCTGCCATTGGCCACGCAGCTTTCTCCTCTCCCTACGCTACCTACATGTTTCAAAAGTCCACACTGCAACAGGACACAGGAGGACAACAACCTCCAAACAGCAACCTACTACACCAAAGACTTTGCACAGGATGTGGATTGTGCAGTAAAGCAGCGCCACTATTCTCCACTCATTGAATTATCCATGATATTGACAGTGCTCTCCTTTCTGCATGCAAATGTCGCACCAAAACAATTCCCCCGACGGTATGCAGGAACAATGTCACTGCATCGTACCATGCAGGTCTTTGAACTAGCTGTACATGTTGAAACTGAACAATAATGATATGGAAATCCCCATTTCTCAAGCTGACAGGATTGGTCCCTTCCGTGCCTTACATATAAAAAACCCCTGGCTGTCTGGGTGTTGTGTTTTGGAGACTCTTATTGGTATAAGTTAGCATTGCTCCGCCATCGTGCTTATGATACACCTCCTGGCATAAAAAAAACACAAATTGTAAAAACCTGATTTTCATAGGGGGGGGCTCCATCACACTGCTACGATTAGCTGTCATTGCTTATAGGGGTGCTACGCTCCATTACACACACAGCACATGCTACCAAATACGATTTATTTATTTAAACTATGGTTCTCAGACACAAAGAAATGCACACATCTTGGAGAATATGTAATTTTGCTCTCATGTTCATCTCAGTGAACTAGATGTTATTTGCTTTTCTTAATGCCAAAGCCCACAACAAACCAAACACATTTACACGCCTCACTGTGTGACTACAAAACACTCATGTAACCCACATGGCTCTTAATAGACATGTCAAAGATTCTATATTAAAACTAAAACAGTATGAATGTGTTGTGCTCCTCATTGTTTGTGCATTATTTGGTATTTTATCTGTTATATACTAACTCAAAAATAAACTGCTAGGTCTCAATATCCCCATGAGAATGAATGACAAACTCTTGGGATAAAGGTGATGGAGGACCAGCCTGAGTGCATCAGTGGCAGCTCTTGATTGTGACACAACAGCAATACCTTGTGGTCACCAGGTGACATTACAACAGGCAGTCGACACAAAGAAAAAAGTTATGAAGTCTTGCTTTGTCAATAAACTGTTATGTTAATTAGATTTTTTTTTTTTTATGGGTCCAGTGTTTGTGTTCTCTTGTTTGTTCTGCTGCAGGTCTCTTTCTGTTGACATGCTGCTCAGAGGGAATCTTAATAACCAACACTAGTAGCTACTACCTCCCACTGATTATTGATTTTTAGGTTAACCCTTAACGTCAATCTGATTTCTGTATCGGAAAACACTTTGGCTAAACGGCTGTTCTTTTAACTTCGCGGTGTAATGGCTCACCCATCGTAGTCCACATGTCCAGGGTACTTTATCAGTCGAAGGAGAGTTTCGAGCTTCCGGAGACAGCCTTGGACATCACCCGTGGACAGCATTGGACCTGTAAACAAGGAAGTGAAGCGTCCTTCATCCAACATGTTCTATGTTCTAAGCGCTGGTTCACCAAACTGCTCCGTTTGCGGGAACACGCGGGGCATAGCCGCGAAATGAGCTCCAATCCGAAACACTCGGCTAAAAACGACGTCGTCTTATACATTATTAACGGCCACTCACCCTGTCACGTGTATGTCACAAACTCAAAAAGATGTTTGATGTATGTGTAGTTAACGCTAGCGGCTACTTTTACCAACGACGGCTTCTACAAGTTTTGTTTCTACCGGGTGATCAGCAGCACAAACGCTGATTGGCTGATAGGTCTCGTACGTCAATGCGTCCTTTCAACGTAATGTAACGAGTTGACGTCACGACGCAGCCCAGACGCGCGCTGCTGTTTGTTTATCTCTTGATAATCACTTGGCTTGTGCTGATTCAGCCGATTCAGCGCAGGAAACCAACCGATTCCGCAACTGATTGCGGGACTAAATGCGTGTTTCTGCGTTTCCTTTTTGTTTCGATAATGAGCCCTGAGTGTATGTAAAACAGGGGAAAGGGGGCGGGGCATCGGAGCCAGGAGGAGGAGGAGGAGGAGGAGGCTGCGAACAGATGATTGTGTTAGTAACAGACTACGGTATGGAAGGATCCTCCTGAACCTGCGGAGCGACTAACTCTGGTTGTGTCTGCGCTCGGCTCGGTGAAATGACACCAGAACACGTTTCATAGCAGGGAACCCGCATTTCCAGCTGTCCTTGTGCGCAGGTCAGGTTGTCAGAGGAATCACAAAGTCAGGTTGGTGGCTCGGGGACGGTGCTGGGTCTCACTTATTAAGAAATTCTGCGTCACGCTTATAAAAGAAACAAGACATATATTCTTTAGTATGACACCAAATCCAACTAGTTTGGGTCGTCACTGCCTTCGTCAACTTAAACTAGCCTGGTAAGCTAACTCGGGGATTTGTAGCAACAGATAGCGAGTGAACGCCAGCTGCACCAATGGCGTTCCGCTTTGAGCGCTGCGTGTCCAATGGCAGCGGAGAGGGGGCGGGCCTACGGGCCACACTAGCTTGCTTGCTGGAACTTCCAACGTTGATGTTTACAACAGTGTAATGGATTTGTTTATGCAACACAGCTGACGTGAGGCAGGCTGACAGGGCAGAGCAGTGAAAAAGGCTGGCCCCCGTGTTGCTGCTTTGTTTACTGGCACAAACTTATACCGACGAAGCTCATTTTGGCACAGAGTTCTGGCAGTTGTTTGAGTGCAGGCTGTCATTAGTGTGTCAGCAGGGGGGTATGCATAATATATGTCAGTGGTTAGTATAGGACACAGGTGAGTAGAAACTTTCTATTTGTTTTTTCAATATTTGGCACCTTTATTTTTGATGACAGACTAAATCCTCCTCAGAAGAGCTGCTCTGCCATTCATTGTAAACTGTTTGTTAAGCTGCTCTTTGCTGGAGGAAGGAGTTGTGTTTCTCTACCTTCCTCCTACTTTTTAAAATTCATTTAGTCGTTCTAGAGTGTCTGTTTTTCGTTGCACATAAATGATGAATGATGATGCTTGTGATACAGCACAGTGGTGGACTTCCTCCTGTTGTGTTCTGTACCAATCATCAGGTTTTTGGTCTCACTACACCGCTGTCTGCCATGTAATTGTAAAGACTTGTTTAATGCAGGAAAAGAAACGTTTCCCACGTGCCTTTAGTCATACAGAAAAATTACAAATCTGCACAAGTAAAATAAGAACTTAAAAATCTATATAAAGTAGGACCATCAGCAAGATTTAAAATCAATAATGCCACCTTTTTAATGCATTTTTACGTGGTTGCTCGTAATGGAAGATCATAGCAACAAGTGAACACGAGGGAACCACAAGCAAAACCCCAAGTGTGACCAGATGACTGTAAACATGCAGCATGAGCAGTTGTTTTGGTGTGACGTACACATGAGGAAAAGGATGACGGGTGCAGTCTACCTCTGACCTAGTCATGCATGTGGGTCAGTGGACATACAGCTTATTGCTATACTGAATATCATATGTGTGACTTGCTTGACCTGTCGCCCTGCTGTCTGCAGATGGGTCAGGCACTGTGGAGGCTGCCTCCCAGACAACAGCAGCAGCTACAAGAAGAGCTAGCCGACCACCTGGCCGACCAAGGAGGAGGGGCAAGACGTGAACAAGGTGCCACTTTAATAATATCACTTTGTACATTTTTGGATTTTGTTGGTGACTACTTTTAATTTCAGGCAACATATGAGTTTGGTAACAGAAAGGGACAAAATGGTTCTTGGCTTCAGTTCTTATAATCTGTCATCTTCAGTCAGTACAGCAAGAGCCAGCTGAAGTCAGTCTACTTGAATGTGTGTGGGCTTCATTTAAGCTCCAGTTCATGTGACCTGTAGCTCAGTTTACTGCCAAAAGTAAGAAAAATCTGATTACTAAAGTGGGAAAAGAGCACTGTTTGTGGAACACAACACAACAATCAAACCACCGAGACGTGATCAAGTCATTCAATAAAATGCTTGGAAACCTTGGGTACTGGCATCTTCAACATGTCCCCAGACACCTGACTCTCCAGGTCCCAGTGAAATGGAGCATCCTTGAGGTTTGTGGGAACATGCCTGATCCACATCGGCTCCACTCCACAACCCAGAGGAGGTAAAGGATCTGCAGCTAACATTCCAGCACCAGACAGCCCAGAGGTGCTTGGTCCATGGCCCAGTGCATCAGAGCTGTACTGACAGCATGAGGGGGACCAACACAATATTAGACAAGTGGTTTTAATGTTGTGGTTGATGGATGTATGCCAATATTTGGTGTGGCCTCGTTTTGCTCAGTTTTTGCTGTCGTGGATTCCACAAGACGTTCCTGGGATTCTGCTGTGAGCTGACATGACTCATCGCAGCATTTCTGCAGCTCAGTCAGGTGCACATTCATGCTCCCGTTCTACCACATTCCAAAGGCATTCTACTGGATTCAGGTTTGGCGGCTGGGAAAGCCACTGATGTCATGAAACCATTCGACAGCTTTTGCTCCGTGACACGGTGCATTATCCTGCTGGAACATGTACATGGTCAGCAATAAACACTCAGACAAACTGCGATATTCAACCCACAATTGTCTGGTATGAAGTGTGTCAAGAAGACATTTCCCGCAGCTGCCCGGACTGTTGACACGAGACATTTTGGCTCCGTGGATTCATGCTGTTGATTCTGACGCATCATCTGCAGCCTCAGCAGAAATTCATGGGACCGGGCTACGTCGCTACATCTTCAGCTTCTGCTCACCACAGCTGTAAAGAGCGGTTCTCTGAGTTACCATCACAGTTGTAAAAAAGTCATTTTGATGTTTGAGGTGAACATAAAGATCCCGAATCTGCAAGACAATATGCATTGCACTGCTGCCACACCACTGGCTGCTTGGATGACGAGTTGTCAACATGACTATGCAGGTGAACAGGTGTTCCTAACAAAGGGCTCGGTTTGTAGGTTTTTACAATTTACAAATTTAAAAAAACCTACATAATGAATTCTATAAATGGAGAACGTTAAAACAGTAGGTATGAAAAATATATCAACAACACAGTACGAATAAACAAGATTATATGACGTCTTTGTAATGCATTTATTCATAAGTTAAATGATAGCGACTGTGCCTGCTCAGTCATTGCTGCAAGCCGCCAACTCTCCTGTCAAGCTAAATGGCAGTAAGGGAAATAACATATTTTTTTCAGTTCCAGGGAGAGATGGTGGTCCTCAGAGGAGACCTCCACAGCACTGCTATGGCCCCGACATCTACCATCTGCTGAGAACACGACGGGGAGGTATGAACACACACTACACATGCACACCTACTGCTCACTAACGGGAAATAGGAAGAAGCCATCACTACTAACTGAGAAGGATAAACTTCATCAGAGATAGATACTATAACCCAACTTGCTGTGCATTTATTTCATTGTGGTGAGTTAAGTGATTTCATGCCAGTTAGAACATTTGGATTTGGACCAAACAGACGCTAAAGGGACCCGAGCCTCACAGAAACCAACAGTAGTCCAAGTAAAAGTTTGCCTTTTGCAGAGACTGATGTTTGACACACTAAGTGGACAGCCGTAAGTGGCCAAACATTACCTGTAGCTCATGCTGTTTGTCTGTCTGCACACTACATAGGGAGTTAGAGGCAGCCTGGTAAGAGCAGAGCCACTTCACCGGCTGTTCAGTTTAGTAAGTCAGTGAGCAGCTTTCTTTGGATCTTTCTCGTCTCCCTGTTTTCCAGAAGCAGAACCCCATGGGCTGGTAGCGAAGCCAAGCAGAGCCATGGTACCCGTTGTGTAGTTTCATCAGTCATTGCTCTTTAGAGCTGTCAGCATCTGGCTGTGGTCTTTGCAGTGAGGGCATTTGTCAGCAGAGCAGTTTTCCTTTTGAGGATCTAGTCTCTTGAATACATTTGCCTCAGAAACAAGCACACGACTTCTATTCTCCAACCCGGCTCTACGTTGTCAGCTAGATCTGTGTCGCCTCACCAAAAGATGTTCTCCATATGTCAGTGTGGCGTCCCCCCTCCAGGCCAGGACTACGACTTTCCTCTGCTGCATGTCTGTTGACCCGAGCATGGACACTGCCTTCCACCCAGTGTCTGCTGCAGTCCTACAAACTATAGTGCCATTGAACCTTTACCTGTCGTGTGCAGGTCTTTAGAATACAAGCAGCAATCGAATAACATGAGACTTTTCTTTTTGCTGGCGATTCTCCACAGTTAACACAAAGGCTTCTCTATTTCCCTCTTTAAAGCATCTTAATGTTGGGCCAATGGAAGCTCCCTGTCGTCTGCCATAAATGAGTGATTGTGATTTGATGTGGTGACGAGAGAGTCCCATGTGCAGCTTCTAGTAACAATACATAAGACGTGTTCAGCACTGCATCTAGTTTTCATTAAGCTAATCTGAGCAAAGTGAAGCGATAAACTTAACAAACCCTCTGTTTCCTGTGTTCGTGTCTCCCCTGTTTTTTGGTGGCTGTAGGTAAAGAGCAGCATGGTTTTATAGATTTGGAGATGCTGCCCCCTGAGTTAGGCATCACCATCCTGTCGTACCTGAATGCTACTGATCTGTGCCTGGCCGGCTGCGTATGGCAAGACCTGGGAAACGATGAATATCTATGGCAGGGGTAAGCTCCTTTTTTTTTATGTTGCCTTCTTTTGATATTATTGGCTTCGGTTCTGTAACCAATATGTGTTGATCCGTCAGACTGTGTAAGTCCACATGGGGACACTGCTCCATCTACAACAGAAGACTACCTGCTGGCTTCTCATATAGAAGATTATACCTACAGCTAGATGAAGGCAGCCTGACGTTCAATGCTAACCCACAGGAGGTAACGCACGTCCGGATCTTTAGCCCGATATGTGCACACCATCTCAGAGTTTGTCATGTTGCACCCACCAGTCTTTTACCTCATCATCAAAGCATTTGCATGTTGATAAATTAAGATGTGAGCACATCCTAAAAATATCACTGAAAAAACATAAAGATTTAAAACTGGATCCCTTCTAAAAACAAAACAACAACATTATTTTGAAGTGAACAAGTTGAGCATCCCTCCTCATGAACAGTCAAAATCAAATAATGTAGAAAGACTATGTTGGAAATATCGGCCCCACAGTAGAAATCTCATGTAGCAAAAGGGAACACACCTGTGAGCACTGAAACTAAACAATTAACCCAATTGCATATGAGCAGTAATCAGTTTTGGACTCATGGACGACCACAGAATGATGACAACGACTGCACATCCACAGTGAAGCACAGAGGTGGAAGTGTCATGATATGATTAGTGCACATGCTGTTGGGGAGATAACACTTACAGATGTCTATATGAAAATCCTCTCCGACAACATGAGTCCCAGTCTGCAGAAGAGGAACAAAGAATATTTGAGCATGATAATGATTCAAAGCACACAGTTTCAAAGGAAGAACGAAGAGAAAACTATGACCTGGCCAAGTATGCTGGCTGACTGGAATCACTTAAAATATCTTTGGCATGTTTTTAAAAAAGGAAAAGGCAACGCTGGTATCTTTCATGAGGATTAAGTCTGTCGTCAAAAAAATAAAGTATGAAATATTGAAAACTTTTTTTTTTTACATTGGATTCCTACTGTGGGGCCTGAGGTTTAAATATAAATGTGAAAAAATACTGTTAGTTTGAAATAAGAGCAAATGCTGTACTACTGAACTCAGAAGTAATGCAGTTACTGGACATTTAATTGATATTGCACAGAGGTTTACTTATGTTGTATGCTACATGATTCTTTATCTGTGTGTGTGTGTGTGTGTGTGTGTGTAGGGTATCAGTTATTTCATGTCTAAGGGCATCCTGGTGGATCATCCCACCGAGCTGGCCAAGTTCATTTTCTACACCAGACGTCTCAACTGGAAGATGCTGAGGATTTACCTGGATGAAAGGTTAGCATATAAACACACTCACACACAACCAGCCCAGCAAGGAAAGTTTACATTTTTTTTCTTTGGAAGACATAAATTATGGCCTTAACCTCAGTTATGTAAGTCCTGTTGTAAGAGGTCTAATTATAGACACCACAGTTTGTTTACTATCAGATTAAATATACATGTAGTGGAACCTTTTCCTGATATTTCATCTGTATTTGTTTGTGTGCGTCCAGGCGGGACGTCCTCGACGAGTTGGTGACTCTCCACAACTTCAGCAACCAGTTCCTACCGAATGCACTGCGGGATTTCTTCCGACACATCCACGCCCCGGAGGAGAGAGGAGAGTATCTGGAAACCCTCATCACCAAGTTCAGCCACAGGTTTTGCACCTGTAACCCCGGCCTTGTCCGAGAGCTGGGCCTCAGTCCTGGTCAGTGCTTAGACACACATGTACACACTGAACTGAACACATACGGGGGCCTAAAACTAACTGTAGCCCTGTTCTACTGGTACAAGCCCAGTCTGTACATACTGAGGATGTTACCTGTTCCTTTTGTTTGTGATCGTAACTGAAAGTCATTTAAGCAAAGTAAGTTTTAATTATCTCGCCCACAATCTTAAATCACAAGTTTGCCTCAAAGGGCTTTGCAGTACGTGCAGCAAAACCCCAGACAGAGGTGCAGGAGATGTTTGTTTTTCCACAAAGCATGCCAAAGTAGACGCCAGGTCTGCACAGAGGGCATCGTTTCCAAGAGCAACAGAACAGCAAATATTTTAGATCAATGACTGGAAATCTGCCTGACGTCCACATCAGAGGGCTGCTACAAAAATGGCACTGGGATATTTAGTTTTTCTCAGATATGTATTGCAATATGAAAAAACTATTAGTAAATACATTATGGTTGTAGTTTACCAGCTGCAGTCTGTGGCCAGCACTGGTCCACCTGTCCAGGGCAGCAGCCTTCAGCATGTTCATTAAGTCCCAAGCAGCCAGCCTCACTCACATGTATGATCATCCAGGAAAAGCTGAACTTCTATGGAGCACATGAAGACTGAGAACATTCCTGTTGTGACAACAGGCTCTTTAAAGCATTGGACGATGTTCAAAGTTCTCGGCCTCACTTGGAAATGATTCTAGGGCATAACTGTATATCATGCATAGCCTTATATCCGTGTCCACAGAAACTCAGATGTTTGTCATTATTTCTGTGCCGATGAAACCTCTTGAAAACTGGGAAGTGAGAAGGAAGCCAGAGCTGGACGCTGATGGTTTCAGCTGTGTGCTGGACAGTCACACGTTTATCACTCGTGGTGACGATGACCCACATTACGTCGAGTCGGGTCGTCTTCGATGTGCTCTCTGCAGCAACCCACTTCCTTATGGTTGAATAGCACGGGGAGTCCTCACCAGGTGTGTTGACCAGGTCTTCTTGGATTCCCTTGGGGGTCGTTCCCTTGTTGCGCTGACACTTGATCACAGCTCTTGCTTCCTACTTGTCTATCTTTGGGTTTCCCTGATGTTCAAAAGGCATCATCTGCAAAGAAATGGTGACAAACGACAAGTTTTTGTGTGATTTAAGGCTTTATCGTGTAAAATGAGAGTTACGTGCTTTGTTTCCAAGTGTGGCCAAGAGCTTTTAGCAGAACCTTCGTAGCTCATCAGGTCTGTTATCAGTCAGCTGCTGTCAGCAAAGCAAAAGTGGAGCAAACAAAATACTGAGAGATTCTGACGTTCATGGACATTAGTCACAGAATCTGCGTTTCACTTAAAGTGATTCTAATATTACTGATAAAACAGTTTCTGTGTTACATTTATTGGTTTTTATTTTGTTTTTCTGGCATTTCCATGCTGCACTTTCTTGTTTCTCATCAGCTCAAAGATGCAATCTACGTGTGATGAGCTAAAACGATGCGGTTGTGACCGTACGACCTGAAGGTGGCGCTAAAGGGAAGCTTATGGATGACCCCAAATAAAGAGACATGCTTTATCCTCTGGAGAACATAAATAGTAAATGACGGGATAGCGTGATGGGATTTTAATGTTCCTGGTGTGCAGATTGAATTTTTAATAGACGCTTCATTCATCCCCTCAGGGAAATTCAGCTTTCATTATCTTTAACGATGATAATGATGATGCAAGAAATATTTAGACGCATCCTCTGTGGACTCATCTGTCCTGCTCCATCAACATCCCTAAACCCTGCAGCTAACAGGACACAAACTGTCGTACCAGCAGAAGACATGTCACAGACACTCCACTTCTCAGCCGGTTTCCCAGCCGCAAAACCATCAGCGTTTTATTTCCAAGTAATCCCGGGCTTCAGTGTTGTCAATGGGCCGTGCATGCAGCAGCTGAGGGTTCTGTTAATGCCAGCAGACCATAGAGGAACCACCAGCCCCTCACTCTGTTACTGTTAACTCCTCGGACCTGCTGGTATGATTAGCAGCAGTGGCAGGATTAGTGTAATGGTTCTGAGCCCAGGGCTACAGAGGGATGAATGGCTGCTTTTCTCAAGTCAGCCTTTTAAATTCTCTGCTCCTCTGCCCATCTACCCCCTCTGGAAGCTCCCGCGCTCATCAGTGGGAAACAGTTACAAGCTTGATTGCAGTGCAGGACACATGTATGCCTCTCTCTCATCACATTTAGATATAAACTACACAGAAACCTTTCGTTCAGCGCGCTCATTTCTTTGATGACAGTTTGCCGTCGTCTCTCTGCAGATGCTGTGTACGTGCTGTGCTACAGTCTGATCCTCCTGTCCATCGACCTCACCAGCCCGCACGTCAAAAACAAGATGTCCAAGAGGGAGTTCATCAGGAACACTCGCAGAGCGGCGCACAACGTGTCGGATGACTTCGTCGGCCACCTCTACGATAACATCTACCTGATCGGCCACGTGGCTGCGTAGCTCCGCCCACCAGCTGTCCATACTGCACTGAAGAGTAGGAATTGGTGATTGAGTTCCTCTCCACGTCTGGAAAGTATGGGGAAAAAAAACAAAACAATTTTAACAATTTTCACATCCTTCAAGGAAAATAAGTTGATCTTTCTAGAAAGATTAGAAAAACTAATACAATTTGCCACTCCACTGTGAGAAAGACTGCTACCAAATACTAGGATCTTATTAGGATCGAATCAACGGTGTGAAACATCTGGAATGTCTATCAAACCAAGTCACTGCAAAAAAGACAAAAAGACAAGCTCTGATACTGCACTGATGGATAGGGACTACTGACCGGCGGAGGGAGGAGGAGGAGGAGGAGGAACGCTGCCCTCGGCTTGTTTCCGACGACAAGACAGTTCTGCTGATTGGCCAGGAGCTGCTCGACATGCATCAGCAGGACACAGTCTGGCCCGTTCTGGTTGGCGGTGACACGGGACAGTAGATGAAGGCGAAGACAAGGTCACGCTCTAATGTCACTGGTGTAAGGATGCAACGTATGAGGCATCCTGTAAATCGGTTGGACTTATCTGGTGGTTCTCTGTGGCTCAGATCAGTCTGGTAGTGAGTGGAGGAAGAAAACAACACAGTGGGCCTCATGCAAGAAAAACATTCACATTCTTACCC